CTGAGCCCTGGGGAACACCACTTGTGACATGGTCTAAGTCTAAACTGAGAAGGAAACCTCAGACGTACCAAGGCACCTTCCCTACCTATCACGCTAAATGCTGCCTCTGACAAGCAAATAGCAGCTCCTTGCAGGGCTCTGATGTACTTCACAGATGTCCCCGCAGTACACATGCAAGTGAAGGATGGGAACCACAGCCTGGTCATCCTCTTTCCACTTTTTTTCCCCTGCCCTCTCTTATTTCGTTTTCTCCCCAGGTACCAACAATCTGAGCTAAGCAGGTGTTGGTGCTAGTCCTGCTGTGACTGGGAGGTGAGACTGAATTGGGTGACCTTCAGAAGTCCCTTCCAAGCAGCATTGCTATCTGTTTTTTCTTTCAGCAGTGGTCTAAATTGTTATCAGCCTGAACTTGTATTTAGCTTTTCAAGCTTCTCCTTTTATTTCAGACCTGAAGAAGGACTCATGTGCCAAAAAGCTTGTCTTGTTTTCCCAACTACAGCCATTGGTATAAGAAGTGAATTTATCTTTGCCTGTAAACTTTGTCCTGAGAGTGCTTCATGTCCACAATCACAGGGGCATAAAAAGTAAAGGCATGAGATGGTCAGGCTACAAAGTTATAAAGTCGTGCATCAGCTCCAGGGGGGAAGGATTATTACTGAACTAAGCCAAACTGAAATACTTTGATTTCTGTTTAATAAACAAAAAATGAAAGATTTCATTTTGATTCAGGACTATCAGAATCAAAATATTTTTATCTTCACTCTCAGAAAAGAGTATACTCATTACTTGAACTGAACTGAACTGAACTGACATGAAAACAAAAACCAGAATTTCTTGCAGATTGTAAATCTGGATTTTTTTTGACCAGCTCTTCCTGAGTAAAAAGACGTGAGCTTGGGAGGGATGAGGCAACTCTGGCCTGAAAGGGGCCTGTTTTCTTTTGAACAGTTTTTCCAGGTGAACATGGTGTTAATGGAGTTTTCTAATGGCTCATCTGGGAGTTACTTAGAGACTAGGAAAGGAATGGCAATTTGCAGATCTTAACTTGGATATTTCTTCATACAGAAACTTGCAGTGGATCACAGCTTTCGGTGTAGGGTTACCCTCAGGACTTCCAGCTTCTCACTTTTATTAGAACATCTAAATTGGCACTCAGTGACTTCTCTTAAATGGGAAAGTTCAAGCCAACTCAGCTGCTTTTAAATATTTTGGCAGTTAGACAACAGGCAGAGCTGATGAGGTGAACCAGAGAAGAACTGCTAGTGTAGAGGAAGGAGAACTGGAGGACTAATGAGTAGTCCCAGGTAAAATCCAGGTTATTTTCTTTGCTTAGCTAACTTTGCAGTTTAGCAGATCCGTTAAACTGCAAAGTCTAACAGCTAAGCAAAAAAAAAAAACCATGTATTTCTGAAGCAGCAGATTTAGCCTTCTCTACAATAAGCAAGTCTGAAATTGGAACATGCCACTTCTGTATTTCCAAGGTTTGCAGTAGTGTTTTCCTAGTGTGAGATACTGTCTTGTGAATTCCTTTCCACTGCAAAATAAACTTACAATCCGATAAATGTAACATAATGTTGACGTGTAGGCTTTTAGTTGTTATTTATGATATTAATTGAGAGAAATCAAATTTTACTTTGTATTTTGGGGTTTAAATGTCTTCTGTGCATTGAGCAGATGTTATAACCTTTCAATCATGTTTCATTTTGTTGCAATATCGTATTTGAAAGCACTGAAGTTAATTTTATGGGAAACTCTTTTCCCCCCAGTTATTGCTGTTGACATCTTTGACAAGTCTAATTTCACGGGAGCTAGAATACCACGATTTCATGAGATTAAAGAAGATTATCCAAAAGATCTGGAGTCATCTGTTGTCTTCCCTGATACTTTGTTCAGACCATCAGACAGGAAAGGTAAAACCCTTCTGCTGCCATTCAGAGGGCAATTTTGACTAGTTCCCAAGGAGTGTGATTAATCCTCGCGAAGCTGAGTGGTACTAGGGTGAGAGTGAGGCAACCATCTATACAATCGAACATTATTCAGGGATGGAGCAGCTGTGCATACTTCTGAGGCATTTTGCCTGCCGGCGGCAACAGGAGCATGGGGGTCTGCGTAACTGGCTGTACCTGTCTGTCAGGTCTCGCTCGCAGCCCCTCGAACTACCTTGTCAGTGCGAGAGAAATGCTTTGCCTCTGTTCCCACCAGGACAGGATGGGATGGCTTGCCTGGAGCCTGCAGCCCTACAGCCCCCTTCTGCCCATCCCTGCAGAGATGGAGGGAGGTGATGTGAGAGATGGAGGATCCACATCTTGGAGCAGAGCCATGTTATCAGAACTAGGCAGCAAATAAAAAGGCTTGAGCTGTGCAGGGAGATAGGTGATGAGGGAGAATACTTGGGGAAGTACCTGCTTCCCAGTGTCTCCGAAATACCCCGAGACTGCTGAGAGGAACCACAAGTTACCTTTGGCAAGGGAAGAGAGAGAGGGTAACCCAAAGTGCAGTAATTATACACATACCATGGCTGAATATCCTCCAAATAGGGAAATAGTAATACTTGTGAAAATGACGTAATAAATAATAAGCTAATACAACTTCATGACTTTTTCCTCAGAAACAGGGCATGTGTTTGCGTGAACTTGTATCTTTTCTGTAAGAAAAAAGGGAATTTGACTTTTAAGAGATACCACTGAAACAGAAAGCTCATTGTGTGACAGTTAGCAGGGAGAAATCCCATGTGACCAACTGGTGTATTCACAACACTAGCTTTGCAATATATAAAGGCACATCCCGTTTAATAGCATGTGTACTGTTTTAATATTCTCCTTAAGTCATGCACACAGTATTTATTTACTTACAGATCTTCTAGCTTAGAAATGTCTTATTTTCTAGACTAAATGATTATTCATGGTTCACGGGTTATTTGATTATCAGCTGTGTAACTATGAAATGTGATAACATTTTATTAAAAATATCAAATATAACATTAGTTTTATAAGCCTAGAGTTACAACAATAGCATTTCTGTATCTTTGCAAAGCAGAATTAACAGTTTAAGTGGTAGCTCCAAAGTTGTGTGGAAAGAATGTAATATTTGTGTTAATTCCATAGCAGTGCCTACAATGAGGCCTTCAAATCAGAAATTATCCTCTAAAGTGTACAGTGATACACTAAGCCCTGAGAGTGCTTTTGCAAAAAGAAGGAAGCGACACCCAGATGACTCAACACATCATACTGTTGCCATGGTCATTATATACCGATCTCTGGGACACCTTCTGCCTGAAAACTATGATCCTGACCGAAGGAGCTTGAGGTAGACTTCAAACCTGTTTGTGACTTGTGCAGATCCCTTCTTCCACTTGCTCTGAGTGTGTGGGTGAGACAGCTGCTTTTATACTGACTAAATGTCATCTGCGCTGCAGTTGCCACCGCAGTACTGTCTCTTGTCCTTTTCTGACACTGTGGGAGAATAACCACGTCTGTAGTGCCACCAGCTTCTGGAAACACAGCTGTGTGGAATGCTGATGGTGCATCTACTTCACTTTCTGAGTGGAAGCAACTGGAAATCTTTTATTTGCAGAACCTACCGAATCAGTGCTTTGCATTTTAACGTTTAGATCACTGTGCAATTTTTCTCCCTCTGCAGGTTGCCAAATCGCCCTATTATTAACACACCTGTAGTAAGCACAGCCATTCATAGTGATGGGGACCTTCCTCCCAACCTGGTGGAAAAGCCCATCATAGTGGAGTATGCCATGCTGGAAACGGAGGAGAGAACGAAGCCCGTCTGTGTCTTCTGGAATCATTCCATCATGTATGTCTCCTACTTGCTTTGGGGCTACTGTCTCAGTAGCAGAGAAGTTCTGCCCAGGAAGATAATTCTGGAGGAAACCCCTTTTTTTGCTCAGTTTATTCAACTGGCAACTGATTTTTGGTAGAATAGAGCCGTGTAGTCATGTCCCACCAACCTGAGAAAAATGAAAATAATCATCATAACTCTTCAACAAAGGATTAGCCATGTGGTTTCTAACAAACATAGTGCTGTCGTGAGTTTCTGCAGGGTTCATTTTCACCCAGCAATAATAAATACGATTTCCTTGTATTTGCTCATGCGTTATGCCCACAGATGTATATCTGGACAGGCATAGTTGGACTCAGTGCCTGAATTCATGGCTCGTCCGAGGGCCCTGAGTCAGGACTCTCATTGCCTCATGCCCTCTTTTTAGGAGGGCATCTCCAGGAGATGATTCAGTTCTTGCACGGTCTGAATCTTCTGTTACACTCCAGTGACTACAGACAGAGTATATGGCAAGCAGGCACGCACCCCTTGATGCCTCAGCCAGTGCCAACACAAAAAAATTGCATAACCAAGTCTTCATGTTGGTAAAAAGGAGGACTGAGGTTTTGCAGATAAAATTACACATGTAAAGATTATAGATTTTTGAATCTCAAATGTTTGAAGCAAAAGTCAACCCAAAGACAGTTGCACTGATAAGAAGCAACTTGCCTTTCATTCCATCAGCTGTTGTGGATTTGCTTTCATTTGTTTTAGTGAAAAATTGGAGGGAGAGGAAATACCTTCTTTGGGACCTTAGACCTCTTCCAGTTGTTAGGAAGCAATGGTAATACATAAGCAGAACATAAGGAGAAAATATTTGACTCTCTAGGAGGGAAGTGTGAGGGAAAAGATGAAGTATTCTGAAAGTGGCTCATTTACGTCTTTTGTATTCAGTAAAGTTAAAGATACAGAGATAGTTTTCTTGAAAATGTGAAAAATGTTAAGAACTGTTATGCTCGTGTTTCGTTGCATTTATGGCATTGTGGAAACAGCACAGTCCTGTTGGATGTATTTCAAGAGTGTGGATAAAAGAAAATGCATTGAGGGGTAACTGCGTGTTCTGTATGTTACAATTTCACAATATTGTAACTATTACATATATAATGCAATTTTCAACCATAAAACCAGGTATATAGTGAGAGGATGATACTGTCTGCCCAGGGTAAGAGGAATAGCTGTTACTTGTTTCCTAGTAATCCAAAAACTCCAGTAAATCTATGGGAAAATCCATTAAAAGGCAATATTCTGTGCTGGAAAAAAGAGCAAACTACCCTAGGAAATGTTTGCCTCCTAGTGAGAAGTTTCAGGAGATTATGTTGTTAAAAGGATCGAAGAGGCAGCAGAAATCTGTTATGTTTGCAATAATAAACTACTCCATTTTTCTGCATGTAAAGTAGTATATTTGCTTGTACGTACAGATGATCCTGCCAATTATGAGGGCATGGCAAGTCCTTTTTCATAAAATTTTAAACATCGTATGGGCTTGAATAACTCATTACCTCTAAAATGATTCATCTATTAGCTATTTGCTGGCAACTTCAATGGCATTGTTGTCTGTGTTACGTCTTTCTACAGCCACAGTTGAAAAGCAGCTCTTAAACTGCATGTAATGAAAGAGTTTTTAAAAAGTGAGTACTTTTCTAGAGAAAGTGATATTAAAACTGTTTAACAAATATTTTATTGCTGAATGAAAAAGATCTCCTGTCATATCTAATTGAAACTCTTTCAGTAACTACAAGACTATTTTTATTACTCATTAACTTCAGAATAGAGTAATTAATATCGATACAAAATAATTTCCGAAGTCACTGGAGCTAACCAAGGCTGCACAGGGAAGAACTTGTAAGGGAACAGTTCCTCCCCAAAGTTAATACAAGCGATCTCCTGATATAGAGTATTATTTACTGGTTTTAACCTTTTCTTGTGTACTTTTCAGAGGAACACTGTAACAAAATCATTATTGCTGAAACACATCTCACGTAGGAGCTCTGCAAGCATTGTCTAGGTCTAGGGAAATAGAGATCACTCAAAAACATGTCTCCCAGCGTTCTTGGTATTTTTTACCTTTGCTACAGCCAGTTTGCTCTGTGCAATCGCTTCCCCATATTGCTTGTGTGGTCACTGGCCCAAAAGCAAAGTGTTTCAAATCTTTTTTTTTTTTTTTTTTTCAAACTCAAAACAGATTGTTATAAAACCAGAAAATTTGGCCAGGAAAGCCAGCTGTCAGATCAGAAACTGCTTCAACTGAAGTCTTTTTAAGTTGATGATACTCTTTCAGGCAGGTGACAGCTATAAGCATTTCTGTCTTGGTACTTACAGTCCTCTCTGGTTGCAGAACAATAGCTGCCCTGGAGAGCAGCAGTGGGAGGTGAGGGGAGATCAGAGGACGGCACTCAGAAATGCCTTTTTTCCCCACAGGATTGGCGGGACAGGTGCCTGGTCCTCCAGAGGATGTGAGTTGTTTTCCAGAAACCAGAGCCATATTGCTTGCCAGTGCAACCATATAACCAGCTTTGCTGTTCTGATGGACATTTCAAAACGAGAGGTGGGTGATGTCAGGCTCGTGATTTTTGAGGGCTTTAGTTTTCAAGGGCTTTGGTTTTCAAGGGCTTTGATTCAGAGCTTGAGCTCTAGCTTTGAGCATGACTCAGAGCATCATCAGCGGATCGATCCCATGTTGTAGTGTGTCAGGAGTGCATTGCCCCGTGCCTGACAGCACCCACCACTGGGTCTGCTGAGAGGAGCTTCTTACCTGGTCAGTACACCCTCTGGGTGCTGCCCATACACACTCAGTATGTTGAGTCATGAGGTGGTAGGTATCATCCACTGCTGTTGGTCCTAAAGCAAATCTGTACATTGGCTCAGTAGTAGTGAAAACAAGTACATTCTGAGTAGTAGATTTGACTGGAGGAAAAGGAAGGAGAAACTCACAGAGGTCCTGTCAATCTGTCTTTCTACAGAATGGGGAGGTGCTTCCTCTGAAGATTGTCACTTACACAACTGTATCCATCTCACTGGTGGCTTTGCTGATCACCTTCATACTGCTGGTCCTGATCCGCACGCTACGTTCCAACTTGCACAGTATCCACAAAAACCTGGTGGCTGCCCTTTTCTTCTCTGAGCTTGTTTTTCTTATTGGAATCAACCAGACTGAAAACCCGGTAAGAGTTACTCTGTGTTTATTGCTAGAGCTGTTGTCAAGCTTTAAATCGGGGGGTTCATATTGTGGTTTTTACCTGCTCCCATCTGTTTCACTTCTCTTCTTTCTTGCTTCTGTTTGGCCTCAACAGTAATGTGAAAAATATCAGACTTTTAATATGTTCTTGTGTGGTTTACATGATTAATATTAATGGCAGGAGACAGGACTATATTTATTTTGAGAGAATGTATGACAGCAGCCCTGTTGAAGGCTTATCCCAGGAACTGAACCCTGAATATTGATTTCTTCCTTCCTTTCCATTAGTATGTTTTCTGTCTTGCTCTATCTGTTCAGTAGGAGGCTCTCCAGTTTCTCCTGCAGCAGGTACCTCACAAGCCCAAACGGCTCCTGGTGTTGACTGGTAGGTTGTCAACTATGTGTTGCTGTTCAGGTGCCAATATGCATGTTGCACACCCACCATGGCTGTTCTGGAGAAGCCACTTGCCAGGCATGGGACAGCTTGCTGCATCCAGGAATCAGCAGAAAATCGGTCGCTTCGCTTTGTGCCTTCCAGCCACAGTGGTCGTTGGCTTCAGCCTATCATATCTGTTGCCAAAGCTAGTGCAGGCACTTCCAACATTGTGCATGTCAAGAAACGCAAGCTCTGAATGGACTGAATATGAGATATATGCCACATGTGAAGTGTGTATGTTCCCTACCTAGGACCTCATTGCTATCTGAACTATGTAGCATTATATGTAGTATTGCTGCTGATTCTTAGTAGTGCCCGTCTTGAAAGTCACGGTCGCCATGCAGACAGGTAGGAGACAAGCAGGCAGGGGTTTTGGCACTGCCAAGTTTCCTGGTCGCCTGTACCAAACAGGCAGTAGGCAGGTGGGGGATGACATGCCATGAAAAGAATGCCCTTAACAGATACGAAGAATATTTAGAATGTTAGTGCAGGGATCATCTGAACACTGAAGAAAATTTATCTTCTAGAAATTCATTACTGTACATGTTTCAGTCTAAACTTCGAGAGGGAAGTACGATCATGAGATGAAAACACACACACAAAAAAGTAAAGAACCCTGCTGATTCCACATAGTCCAAGCAGCAGAAATGGGAGAATATGCCTACGTTCAATGAGTATCACCATTATGGTAATGACACCATGGTGCCTAACCACGCAGCCCTACTTGCTGTGTAACTTAAGCCTAATGTGTCACCCTGGATTCTAATATTCATTTGAGATAAAACGTACGTTTTCGAAAGTATCCGACCTTGAGATTTCAACTTCCAGTAATTGAGTGCTGCCAAGAACTTTTCCTAGCAAATTTGAGAGAAGTCTTTTGGAAAACTAAATAAAATTAAGTGGCTTAAATTCTTCAGTTTCTAAGATTCAAATTACTCTGTTGCCTTTTTTCTGGGCTATCTTCCTCCACTTTATCTTTTGAAAAATTGTGGATGCTAAACTAGGTGAAGCTTTCCAGCTGGTACTGTCGCTTCCAGTCCCATATTCCAATATTCCTTTGCACCAGGAACTCCGGTCCCTTATCTGCTGCTATGGTGAGATCTTTTGCAGTGACCTGCCCTCTGGGATATGGTCTCACGTCATGTGTGACCCATGTTGTCTTTGTTTCATAATGTATGAGTTTGCATATTAAAATAATTTTGCTCAAAAGAACTCACCTTGCCAATTGTTCCACAGCACTCCATGTAACTTGACCTTTCCCATGCCTTCTTGAGCACACCACTCATTCTTCACTGCATTTCACTAGCAAGGAGTTTATGCTCTTTCAGTTCTTCAGCATGAATACTGAGGAGCAGGGGGCCAAGCCCACATCCCTGCAGAATCTTACCAGAAATTATGCAGTAAATGTTGGCTCCTTATTTCCAGATTCCTTTCATAATATCATGAAGCACCAAGCCAAGGTTTCTAAGAGTAGTAAAACAGTTCGTTGCAGCAATACCACAGATACTAATGGTCATACTTAGTGAGATTGTTCTCTTTAGTTCCTTCTCATTTTCATGCTTTGGGGCTCATGTGTGATCATGTCCTGTACTGTTACCAGGACTCAGTGAAACACCCCAAACCTTTAACCCACTTATGAAGATCTTTAATTTACAGAATATATGTCATACTGCAGAAAACCTCTTCTTACATCCTACCCAGTCAATTTGAGAAGTTAGGAGGGCTGTAAGCCATTTCTGCTTGAGACAATTATTCATCTGTCTGTATGGAATGAGAGTTGTCTAACGAGTCATGCACTGATGAACATAAAGAGGTAAAAAATGCTGGAGCACAAATAATACTGCACTGCTTGGCACCCAGCCTGGCTTTTATGGGTTTCTGTAAATTAACAGTCTCATTTCTGGGTGAGGTTTTAATCTTTCCCTGGACTATTGATAGAAAGTGATTTATTTTCTTTCTTTTTTCTTACCTGTAAAAGGTAATGTTCAGGGCAGCAGTCTACTCATATGCATGTGTGAGTAGGAACAGAAAAAGCCCTGCTTACATAGAAGGAAGAAAGGTCTTTTATTTGGTGAGCTGCATTTTCAATAACACTTGGTGTTATAATAAAGCTGAAGCAGTAAGTGAATCCAGAAAGTTGGCAGTCTTTGTGTGATACCTTTGCTCGGCAAAGTTCAACAGGGAAACTTATGTTTCTGAGCATTATACCATGAAAAAAAACACTAAAAAGTCATGCCAAAATCTGAAAGCAGAGTCAGTGCTGCACAGGAACAAAAGATTCCAAAGCACAATGTAAAACATTTTGAAAAAAAAATTAATGGTTACACGAAGTGCTCTTAATTCACGCTTATCAACAGATCCTTGGCAAGATCCTTTCCTTTGCTTCCGAAAGGTGAAGGTTAACTGCAAGATTTCGATTCAGGTGTCGGATGCTTGTGGTCATTCCTGTTTTCACCCATCAAACTATTAAATTGGGAGGGAAGCTGGATAGCAGATACTACAGAAATGCAAGTCTGTGAAGGTCAGAGGTTTCACAGTGGCCATTTGGTCACAAAGATGACTTCAACTACCAGTTTTCCCACTGTAGCTGTTACTCCTAGTCACCCTAAGTTCCCATTCTCTTTGGTTTCAGCAGGTCCTTCATTTTTGCTACTTTCAGCCTGGCAGAGCTGAGTGGTCTACTTTGTGCTGCTGACGTAGGATAAAAGCCAAATCCAAACCTGGGACTGGAAGCTCCAGATCCCGTTGTTCCTAGCCGAAGATGTGAACTACCTGGCCAGCATTAGCCTGCTTTCTGTTTGCCCTCATGACTTCTGTGTCTGACTGCAAGTAACACAGCCTCAAGAGGAGGGCAGAGCTGAGCATTTCTGGACCGAGAATATCCTACAGCCTGGTGGTTAGGGTGGTTTTCTGCAGTGGATGGGAAAGGGGTTAACCCCCCATGCTCAAGCAAGGTAGAGCCTAGAAGCCACTCTCCCACTCTGTAGACAAATACTCTGATTTTGACATTAGGTAAAAGATTGATCTGTGAAGTGGGTGGTGATCTGCTTCTAGCTGCATCATTTTAGTCCAGTGATCATGGCCAGGCATCCTCTGTGACTTGATGAAGTATAGAAGATGTGCAGGGGCTGCAGGGTTAATCAGTGAAGGGCAGAGCTGCAAGGACAAAAGAGGTGGTCACTACCTTACCCCATGGATGCATCCATGCTTTTGCTTCTCGATTATTTTTTTTGAAAGAGTCCCAGAAAAGGAGTTGTAGATGGAACAGACCTTTTCAGACCTGTGACACAGACATGTAGAGGCAAAATGGTCTGCTGAGCTTATGTTAGATCATAAGATCACATCAAATTTTATCTATTTGTGAGACAGACATTTCATTTAACTGATCAGAAAGTTCCTTAAAGAAAGGCTGGATTTCTTTGGTTAAAGTCTACAGATCATCCATTGCTCATGTTCATCACGTTCACTTTTCCTGGGCTGAAGCTTCATGGATTTTTGTCCCCAGAAGTGAAGTTTTTCCGAGCAAGAAGGCCTTTTTCAGGCACAGGTCCTAAACTAAAGACCAAAGATCTTCTCATACCTCCACTCCACCTCTGCCAAACACAAGGAGAGTTTCTTTCTACCTTTTTATCTGCTAATATCAGGCACAAAACATGGGTTGCTTTAAAACAAATCAAACTGTACCAAAATAGCCTGCTTCCTTGGAGAGGGCTATCTCTCTGGAAAGATCGAAGTAGCACAAAAACCCGTAGGGTTGCCCTTGATGTGGAAATGGGAGACACCGAGCCAGTGCGGGGCTGAGGGTGGCCATTCTCAGGAGCAATTTGTTGGCTTTGCAATGAGACTGGTTTAGCTGATGCAGTTAAACACGCTGTGGCTGAGTTTGATGTAGTGGCATTGCGCAGGCAAGGCCCATACAAGCGGAAGAACGGAGGATCCCCACCTCCTGCTCTGCACCAGGAGAAAGAGCCAGGAGCTCTGCCAGCCCTGCCCCTCCTGCAAGCAGAAGGAATTAGATCAGAATAGCTAAAATGCCTATCTTTGTAGCAACTATGCACAGAGAAATTAGCCACAGAACGTGGAGGGCAAGGGCAGTGACCAAAAGCATGTTGGGTTGATAAGGTAAAGCTGAACCAGGCTCAGAACAGGCCACATAATTTTATGTTTTTTTTTTTTAAAAAAAGCTTTCACAGTATGAACAGCTTTTCTGAAACACTGAAAAACTTAATCAATGGCAATATATTTGTTCTGCCAAAACCTTTTTATTACACTTGCCTTTAGCTTCACAGGGGAGCCGGTGACTCACCAGGTTGTGATTAAGAAGAGCAACTCTAATTTCCCTGCCATTTCCCTTCTGCAGTTCGTGTGCACCGTGATTGCCATCCTCCTGCACTATTTCTACATGAGCACCTTTGCATGGATGTTCGTGGAGCAGCTCCACATCTACCGGATGCTGACTGAAGTGAGGAACATCAACTTCGGGCACATGCGGTTCTACTACGTTGTTGGCTGGGGAATTCCTGCCATCATAAAAGGGACCCTCAACTACCCCAAAATCAACTTCATTTCCCTTCCCTGCCATCTCCAGAGGTCCCTTCCAACTCCTGCCATTCTGTGATTCTGTGATTCACTGGCCAGATTCAGGAAAGTTACCCCATCCTAGACAGCTGTGGGTCCACTCAACTACTGCTGTCACTTCAGTGTTTTCCTGAACAAGGGCAAACCAAATCACGTCTAGCAGAAGTCAGCCTGAGTTTGGCAGATCTGTGTACCAAATATCTGTTGCCCCAGTTGAAGTGATACTGATGGTTTTACAGTAAGATAAACATAATTGCACCCAGATTAAAATATGACTTGATAACATTGCTTGGGAATTACAGTGGGTTTATTTTAACAACTTTGCCAGTAGCTTTCAGAAATTTTCCTTCCTGGTGCTGGTACCTTGAGATATGGACACACGACCTCCCAGGGAGGTAGCTGCAGTGGCTTCAGAAGCGAAGCTGCCCGCAGGACATTACTGCCCTTCACTGGACGTTTCCATTGCCTACCCTCGACCAGCAGTAAACGCTTCCTGAAGGGTATTTCAGCAGTTCTGTTTTACTTGGCATAAAAACAAGCTGGAAATACTCAAGCAGTCTTTTACTTCATTTCAGATACAAAGGCAATAACTTCCAGTTGAGGAAAAGTAATGAAAAGCTGGAGGCAGTAATCTTTTAAACCATTCCAGGGTGATCCACAGGAGCACATCGATCTCCGCCCTCACCATGCCTATTTTTGCAATCAGACATTTCCAGTACTACCCTAAGCACATGGTGCTGTGTTAATTCAGGCAGACAGCTCCTTAGGAAGTATGCTTTGCAGAACAGTTGGAGCAGGGTTTTTTGGTTCAACTATTTCAGTGTGTATCTGTTGCCATATGGGAAATCAGATCATAGGCAGACAGTTAACTTTTACCCAATTATGTTTATTTTTATGGATAACAACATACTGTCAGCAATGCCAGAGGTTTAAATGTCTCTCAGATCCAACAAATAGCTATCACTTATACACACTTGGAAAAATATTATAGAACAAGTTAGACTTAAAAATATGTGGGTTTTTTTCTGTGTTACTTAAGTGTAATACCAAAACATAGCATAGGTTAGTACAGGTTCTTTCTACCGAGAGCTGGTAAGTTTTTCCATATCACCTTGTACATAAGTAATTTCTACTGCTATCACTTTATCCAGAACACAGTGGAAGGCACAGCCCAGAAGGTTCTGCTACTCTAGACATACCCCTGACATTTTAAATAGAAATCATCCTTGAACATCCTAAAACATTTCAGACCTGTGTAACTTTTATCAATACATACAGGACTATTGCGGTATATTCATGAACATTGAAGTGCAATCAGATAACTGGCAGCATCATTTCTGGTAGAAAAGAAGGGTTATCATTTAGTAGCAATAAACAATTTGCATTTCTGAACACGTAACTCTTTACAAGAATTTTGTCGGAAGGTTTTTCTGTTTCATGTTTAGTTTCTCTCCTGAATTTTAAATTAATTCAGACCTTCTCAACAGCAGTATTATACAATCTAAACATACAAGTACACCATGTTTGTACTTTTCTACTTAGATATGGAACTATTTTGCACTTTTAAAACTATGAGTTATGGTTCCAGGATGTCTCCTGTAGTTTAATCTCTGAATCTACTGAATTTGCAGTTTATTTAAATGAAAAGTCAATCCCTATTACTGAGCAAGTCAGAGGATTTTGTGAAATGAAGGATAAAGAAAACTAAGCCTTTAGCTTGCCGTTCCAGGTTTAGAAAACATCTGAAGAGAAAATTATTTCATCATAAATAGCACAATATGGGATTTCTTGCCCCTGGATAACTGTTACTGTACATATTTTAAATAAGCGTCTTTAATAAATTTTAAATTCTAATATCTAAACAGTAAAAAGGTTCCAACTTCGTAACATGCATCTTAAACACAACTTCTTTTAAATTGCTTTATGTAAGAAGGATTGGGTATGTTTCTTAATAGTGGATAAGTCTAGATAAAGGAAGGAATTTTAGACTTGGACATCCAAAGGACTTTTTTGTTTTATTCGGAAGATAATTATCTAGCCCATTTCATCTTTATCATAGCTATCCTGAAAAAAATTAACTTACAGTAGCAGTGTTTTTACTCTGTTTTGTTTATTTATTTTTTCTATTTTCCATGCTCAAACTGACATTCATTTCAAGCTGGGACACACTGGTCCTAAGGTATCTGCGATGGGACCAGGCTGCTTGCAGAAGGGAACCTTGACCCTTAGTGGGGGAAGAAACTTAGTAAAACATTTCCATAGGGAACACTCCAACAGGGAAGAACCACTTTTAATCAGAGCATAGAAAAGCAAATTGCCATGAATAAAAGTAGGATGGAAGCTGCAAGAAGGCTTACACTTAAAACAGTGTGGATCTGTAATATTCCTCCATGAGGAGCAATAGGGGAACATTTTCAACTTGCTTTAAGCTTTCTCATTTTAAAATGTAGTTCGATCCATCTAGGAGAGGGTTTTTATGACTTCCTTGCCTCAGGAGCAAAGGGCTGGGTTTGGCATCCAGCAAGACCCCTCCAGTTCTGCATGTCTTCATGGCAACACACTAACCATTGGCATATGTGTGCAGTATCTGCTTTGCCATGGAGACTACAGTGCTCGTGTTAAAACAGGTTCTTATGTAGCCCTAAAACAAATATCCCCCAGAAAACGGCACTTTCCAAATCTGCTGTTTGCTGTGAATACTAAGCAAGATGATGAGTCAGGAGAGAGGTGAGGCTGACCCACAGCCACCTGAGTCACGTAAGGCTGCTGAGCCCACAGGAGCTCAGAAGGGTCGAAATATGCCCCTCAGGCAGCACCTCCCCACGGCGTGCTCTTGGCACACTCCTGGGGTGGGTGCTGGCCCTCACAGGATGCTTGGCTATAGGACCAGCCCCAGTTCTGCAGACGCCAGTGAGCTGTCACACAGCCTGCCCACTCAGTCTGCTCAGGACAGCCAGGCTGCAGCATTTAATTGATGTGCCAAAACGATTCTCTATATTACATTGCATTGGCTTAGTTCTGCCTGTGGGTAAAGTGTTATTTCACGTATTGTTGACTGCAGTAAAAATTGAACCACGCACCTGAAGACTGCAATTTGCCCCATTTGTTTAATGGGTAGGATTTTGAGAGTGAAAAAATGTTGCTGTCTGCCAATTACTCTTAGAGCCAGATGCTTGGTCAAACTGTAGTTTAAGACCCACTAATGGGGAAATCAAGTCCTGGGAAACAGACTGTGTCTATAGAATTACATCTGTATAAAATACTTTATGGTCCCTTAATCATTTATGGCTAATTCTTTCTGGATGGCAACTGCTGAAAGGGGTGGTGGAAGGGCCAATGGGAGCAGGAAGGGAGACCAGTCCTATCTCATTTCACATTTCAGAGAAAACAGATCCAATATCCACTGCTTTGCCAAATAACCAGTTTAATTTTCATAGACCATAGGCCTGTACCAGATGTGAATATTGGCTGTGGGCCAGCTCTAAGCAGCAACAGTGAAGCACAGCTACCTCTCCCTTTTTCAGTGTCTTTTCATCAAAGCACACGGGCTTCAATTCAAAAAAAGTGTTTGTTACTGTACATGAATTCTCCTTGTCGAGAACAGCACTGCCATCAGCCTTGGCCGTCTGCTTCAGTCAGGACATACGCTCAATGCAATAGGTGCCCCCCATGCCCAGACAACATGCTGCAGCCATTTACCATATGTCATTGGCCATTGGCCTCGCAGAGATCAATTTCTGTGTCTTGAAGAAGGAAGATCTCTGCAGATGGGGTACACCTGTCTCAAAGAGGGAAAAGCATTTTCATAGAGGAGTTAGCAGGGCTCATTGAAAGAGCTTTAAACTAGAAGGCAGAAGGGGATAAAACCAGACTCACTAGAGATAAGTCTGGGGCAGGACACCGATGTTTGAGGGATGATGTGCTAGTGAGGTCCTTCAATCTGCTGCCTCAGTGGAGGCAGGGGATGGAGATCCATGTGACGGCAAAGACACAAGGGTTATCGATGTGTTAGAAACAGCAGAAGCGCCTGAGAATGGTCACATAGGAATTAGGGCTTCTCCCCGCAAAAAGGTGGCAGGATCAATAGCCCAACTGAAGTGCATCTACACCAGTGCACGCAGCATGGGCAACAAACAGGAGGAGCTGGAAGCCATTGTGCAGTGGGAAAACTATGATATAGTTGCCATTACGGAAGCATGGTGGGATGACTCACACAACTGGAGTGCTGCAATGGATGGCCATAAACTCTTCAGAAGGGACAGGCAAGGAAGGAGAGGTGGTGGGGTAGCCCTGTATGTTACGGAGTGTTTTGACTGTGTAGAGCTTGATGATGGTGACAATAGGGTTGTGTGGCTATGGGTAAGAACCAGGGCAAAGACCAACAAGGCAGCTATTGTGGTGGTAGTCTGTTACAGGATGAAGAGGCAGATGAGAAGGCTGGAAGAAGTCTCATGGTCACTAGCCCTT